AAATGCATCCGAACGAAAATACCCTTCGACCCGACGAACGGACAACACGACTCATAAATTCCATATTTCACAAAACGGAAAATTTACAACCCGAACTTTCGAACAGTTTCCCACTCCTCATTTCAACACCCATCTCCAATCAAAAACGCTTCATTTCCTCCACCAAAACCCACCATACACCAATCAACAAAAAAACCGAGGTGACAAGCGGAAACGCACCTAGAACGTTAGACAGAACTGTTAGAACTGCCAGAACTGTTAGAACACCTAGAATTGTTAGAACCACCAGAACTGTTAGAACTCCCGGAACTCGTAGAACTCTAAGAACGCAGATAACGCATCGCTAAGACCATAGCTGTACTATAATATTAAAGTGTACATAAAAGCAACCAGCGACTTCGTTCAACGTAATTCCATTTGGAAACAACGCGCACATACAACTACATCTATGCTAAAACAAAATTTTGTAGAAATGGAACGAAAAAGTTGGATCGTTTTGATCAGAGTTGAGCAGTGATCGTTTATTTCGTGATTATTTCCGCATTTAATTACGAAAACTAATCACGATAATCGCAATTATTAATCAATTAATCGTTCCTGGAATGAATCGGTAATCACGATAATCATAATAATGAATAAATGAATCATTGTTTTAATTAATTTTAATAATCAATAGTCATGATAATCATAATCATTGATCAATTAATCGTTATTGAAAATAAGTCAGTAATCATAATTATATTTTAGTAATCTACAACCATGCATCTCTTACAGCTGTTCCGAAACTGTTCCGAATTATCAAGACTATTAAATTTTAATTGTTCACTAATCATTCAGATAAAAACATCTGATTAATCATTAATCGGATTACTTTCTGCCCAACTGTAGTTCGGATCTGTATTGTCTACTTTGCTTAACATTATTTATCTTCTTAAGTACCTTATCTCTGTTTCCTTTGTCTATCATCTTATCTTCTTTATGAACACATTCATCGTTATATAATAATTAGATTACAGATTTTCTGAATCAATTCTAAGACATAGAAGTTAGATGAAATGTATTCTTTCTATAAATAATTTCAATTAATTCGTGTAATAATATTTTAGAATTTTACTAATATGTTCGCAGTTTTATATTTTACGTAGTCATCTTCATTACAAATGCAATTAATTTATACAATCAATTTTAATGATTAAATTTTGATTTTCGTATTACGTTATTATCGTTACAAATGAGCAAATGTGTCACAATTAGCAGTATATAGTAAGTATCTACCTATAAACCACGTGATAGAACTTCTTTATCGGAAGTTCGACTGACGTTCGCTGACCCTATTGTAATTGTAGCTGATAAAATGCTGATATACCTTGGCTGGATGGCACCGGGTAATAGTAATTCTCAGGTAGTGCGCGAAGTAACACGGACTTCCTACACCGTCGTCGCAGCTATAGCGTTTATCGAATAAACAAACATCCTCGCGGTTGAAAGTTTCGATTTGGAAGTACTAAATTAATTAAACTGCACGTAAAGTTCGAGATTGCTCTCGGTAGTGTGAGCTTCCGTGTTGAAAATGTCGCATGTGCACAGTGAGTATTCAGCAAAAGTTATTGTAAACGAACTGAACGGATAATAATGATAAATGAGTGCAGAAATGATTCGTCGAGTTATCTAACATCCACGTCAAAAATCGGAAATTAATTGCAATTTCATTCGTGTGCCGAGGAGTTATCTTGAGTATCATAATGTGAGTTCCTCTTTTTTCGAATTATTGAGCTTGTTTTAGATCTTACACAGTCATTTACAATTAAAATTACGAAGCAATAAAGGCGAATATTTCACATTAGTTTATAAAAATAGCAAGTCTGTGTTTATTTCGATATTGAATGATTTTTATCATAGTATGCATTTGAAGAAATGATTAATCTTCTTCTAGGCATAACATAATCATTTACGATTATAATCACGAAACAACAATACCGAATATTTCACACTGATTTATAAAAATAGCAAGTTTTTATTTATATAGACCTTGCGTGATTTTTATCATAGTATGCATCGAAATAAATACATTAATTGAATAAGACATTGCAATCTCGTCAAATGAAGAATTAAATAACTTAGAACCCGTTAAAATGGCGGCTAGTCATAGTGTTACAAAGCCTAGTAATAGGCTTCCGGTACTTAATGCGATAAAAGTCGTTGCTGCGGTCTCCCGTTGCTCTCGATTAGGTACTTACAATATGCATCGAAATGAACAATCTAATTAAAATCGCAAAAGCTGTCTTTTACATCGCTACCGTTGTCACGAAGCTGGACATTTTCTATCGAACTCCGACTGTTTCAATTTCAACCAAATCTTTTACTATTTTTTTTTTCTTAGAAATTTATCTTCTGATTGTAGAATTTGAGTTTAGCAAAAAGATCGATGTTTATGTAAACAGCTGATTGTTATTTTCGTTGGAAAACCTTTTACGGAAACCTGTTCTCGGGTTGCGAACCTTTTCCTCGCCATTACGCTAACATCCGCAGGATATTCAGCATGTGGGCGATAACACGAAAGTTTTCAATTGTATATCTAAGGTGTTATCGTCATTAAAATAGTTGTATAGTTTCTTGGTGATGAACAGTTAGAAGTAGGTAATTCAGTAAACTTATTTCTGCGATATCGTTGAAGCTTCCATAAAAGAAACGACGATTTATCGAATTAGGAAAGTATTAATCAAGTTTTATGGCGTGGAAGATCGTTACACAGAAAATATCATTTTTTAACGATATCTTTGAGTGCAAAATAATTGCCGCGTTCATTTGTAATCTTTCTATAATCATCTTCCGTTTCCTCAAGCAGCTGTTTTTAATTAAAGGATTTAATTAAAGGAAGATGTAATTTGTTTAAATCATTTACGAGAAGTAAGAGTTGAATACAAGCATATTTCTTCTGTTAATAGTTATTAATTAATAGTTCTTTGAACGTTTTTACCGTTTTGTTTTCGATTTAATTATTTTGGTTAAAATGTGTGTATCAATCAGTTCCGTGAAAAAAGAAAAACAAAAAATCGCATCGTTATCAAACCGATTACAGAGTTTGATTATCGGTTTGTGAGTTAGAGTCATGTTACTATAAGCAAGAGACTTTCGTCGCGTGCAATGCTTTTTAACTGTTTTAAACTAAAAATAGTTTCAACATTCGCTGTGATCACTAGACTGCGGATTTTATGCATTTCTGACAAAATGCATATCAATTTTATGCATTTCTAAGCAAAGAGATAAGTATCGAAATTTCTCCAGCATTTTGCAATTAATACAACTAATTTTAATTTTGCACTTATGACAAAATTGAATAGATGTCATTTAAAACAAGAATCAGATTTAAGGAATTTAACTATATCTATAAATTATTTTGAACTTATTCAAATTATTAGAGATCGACAGCAGAGTTGGGCATTATTTGAATAAAATTGTGTTAAACAGCATTTCGAATGAAATTTAATGGGAATAATATATCGAATAAATTCGTCGAATAATGTATCGAATAAATTCTGTGAATAATGTATCAAATAAATTCTGTGAATAATATTTCGAATAAATTCTACGAATGAAATTCTATTCGTTATTCGAATAAAATACGTCCAACTTGACCCAGAATATTTGTATTTTGCATAACGATTCACACGTTGATCACTGAAGCATAGCATTTCGTTGTTCGATCGTCTATCGGGAAGTAGAGTATGTAAATAAAAATTCACGCGTGTCCTTGCAAACTATTAGATAGTTTATCACACATGAACGACGCATATCATTAATTACCGGTTTGTACTGTAACGACAATGATCGGAAAGAATTTCATACTGCATTCATAGCAAATGATGTTGCATGTGATACAGAACCACTCAATTGTAATCAACAGACTGCGGATCTCTACGTTAACTTCGATTGTTATGGATATTTCGCTACTTTCCTATGGATTTATCAATTTAAAAATTTCATGGAACCAAAATAAAATGAAAATATCATTCACTTAAATAGTGTTGTAAAAGTACTTATTAATATATACGTTTCTTCTATTTTACTCTTGTATGTAGCTTAAATGAATAATGAATTTCAGGTTTTAGTACAAATTGATATCTTTATAGATTTCACAAGAAGTTAAAAAAAAAATTTGTTCTTTCATTTGGTATAAATAATGCAGCGACAGTTTTTCAATACTCATTAAAGTCGAAGATCAACAAATTATTGGATTAATATAATGTAACAACTAAAGGATACATAATCTTAGAATAATTTATAATTTCCTTAAACAACGTTCAGTAAGAATTTAGAAACTAATAATAATAATAATATCCAACATATGTACACGTAACAATCCTATATTTGCACAATAAACCAAACGGTTTAAATCATTAATAAATAAATAATTAAATAAATAATTGACTGTAAACGTACCAGTGACGTAATATATTGACATTATCTCTTTTACTAAAGCGAACTTTACTCTTTATGTATGTACAACTGCACGCGTTTTTATACACATCATTTGCATATAATTGCATAAAGAGCCGCAGTTTAGTCGTAATAAACTTGTTAAAACACTTGAGCAAAGAACACAGAGTCTACTCGAAGCCGACAAAATCGTCTGTTCTTATTTCCATATCCCAGACACTTGTGCAAATTAAATGTGATCGGACATTTTGTGCGACGCATCGATCGCGCGGATCACACATCAAGTGCTAAATGAAATTGTATGGCTGTAATTTTGTTCACTATATGCCAGTCTATAAAACTCGTAACACTGGCATATACAGAAAATTTTTACGGAATTGACTTTTCCAATTAGCAAAGCCACTGAAAGTTAACTTTGTGCGTTACGTACAACTTTGCTTGCCAAAGCATTTAGTTTGGATCAATAAAAATAGGTAGAGGTCAATGTTCCTGGTTTTGAAATTCTTCTAAGTTCTCTCGATTATTCATTTACAATTCATTACGCGTAATTTGCAACGTCTATTTCTGTTTGCGAACGTTCTATTTTAAAACACAATAAGTAAGAATGATAGTGTTTTTATGAGTGTGTTATTACGATATTTAGTTTTTGCCTCGCGATAGCAGCTTTTATTTAAGCAACAATTTCGAATTTTACTTTAATGCCTAATAAATAAATTATAATAACGCAATTATTATGGAGAGGACTTATCATTTTTCAGAATCTTCGTGTTTCAACTTAGTTTATGAAATGCTGGGGTCGCGAGCAACGCTCTTTAGAGCTCGAGCAAAATCCAGTTTCTAGTCTGGTTGTCACCTTCTTCCACTTTATTTACACCCCAAGGCTGCAAATTAAGCGGAAGAGAGCCTCGGCGGACTCGAGATCACCAAAAAAAAAATTATCCGTTATGTTTTCGCAACGTTTGTTTCACTCTTTCTGCTTCTGGTTTCTCCTACGAACTGTTTGAAAGATAAATAATAATCAACGATCGAATGAAAAAGCTTCACACGTGTACAAGCATATGCAATAATTTAAAAAAATATATTATAATCTAAAAGAGATTAATTTTGAATACGAAAAGTGTTACTTGAAAATTGCATTGTAATTATAATAATTTCACTTCTAAAAGAATATTAGTAAAAACAAAAATGAAAATATTATTGCAATAAAATATTGCATATAATTGCCTGCATTAATTGCAAGATGCAGGAGTTGCATAGACATTTCTTTCATTCTTCAATTATTTCATTGAGTTGAAAATAACGCAATAGAATTTTTAAATTCTTTCAATGTTTCCATTGTTTTGTATTCGATCTACACATTTTTATCATAAATGCATAAAATCCGCAGTATAATTATCATTGCCAAAAAGATATTTTTAAAACTATTCATAATATAAAATTCAAGTATTTTATTTTGTACTTCAGTCTATCAAGATACAAATATTTTATTTATCGAAATTTTATTTGTTANCGAACAATATAACTACAGGCTTAACATGTTGATAATGCAGTTCGTTGCGAAATGAGGATTTTCGTGGGCAATCTTTTTTTGAAAATTTTCGTGATCTCGTATTTTTGTGACCATATAAAATATGATTGTTGACCCTCGCGTTACCAAGCTAACGAAGCTCAAAATGAATAATTAAGTAGCGCCAATGAATATTTATAGCTTGTTCAATCCAACGCATGAACAAATTTCTATACAGTATTTCTTACACCATGAGTGTGTGATGAGTTTAAAGAGTATTCTGTGATAGTGCCCGCATCATGTATATTTATAAGGAACTTGCAGAATTATTTCGTCAAATGCTTCTTCTTGGCCCTCGCTGAATTCACGAAGTTCCATAACAATTTTTGTAATTCCATTTATCAATTTCTCTCAACATATTTTTTAATGGTTTCTTGGATCGCATAGAATCTAACTAAAAATATACTTGTATGTTATTGAAAAATGCATTATAATACAATGTTTTTCAGGTTCTTAGATTTTAGATGAAAGAATAAAATAATTACTATGCTAATGCAAAAGAGAGTAAAAATGTATTAATTAAAAACATGTAAAATCAATAAATTTGACTTCGATGAGATAATAATTAAGCAAGACGGTAAATAAAAATTAACTATAATGAGGGACGAATTAAAGTTTTGTAAAATGCAATAACATAACAAATTTTTATTTTTATTTAATATAAATATTTTCTTTCACGTTCAATTCAATATAAATATTTCCTTTTATGTTAAATTTAATATGAACATTCTCTTTTATATTCAATTCAATTCTTATGTTCAAGCCACTCTCAAGTTTTAACTTAAAATAATAAAAAAAAATCGAGTACAATGTTAAATTAAATTATACATTAAATCAACCGAAAAAAAATTGACTTTCACCACTTTTGCTTTAAATAGCTGATTTCTACTCTGGGTCCGAATGGACCCGAGCTCCACTGACAAATGTTAAAATGCAGTGCAACGCAAATGCTTTTGTTATTAAAGATCTGTCGATGTTCGTTTTCCAGTGTAGTTGAATGGACGCTGTGAGTGGAGGGTCAATCGACGCATGGATTAATCAAGATTTCTGACAAGAAGGAAACGTGCGGCATGGGTCTGCCTCGTTTCTCTCTAAAGGGATCCTTTTTGTACGTGCTATGCTTGTCCGGACTGCTATTGGTCATCCTGAATTTGTTGCAAGACGAAATATGGCATCGTATGCGACCTCATCCTGGACAAACATTGTCGGCTCGCGTCTCCGACAACACAAAGGTACAGTAAATTGCCTAGTATCAAACCCACAACTTTATCACGATTCCACACATTGGCCTAAATCCACGTCCACTCGAGGACTTCGCACTATACACGAAACGCTTCTGATAACTATTAGCAATTCAAACAAGGAAAATTTAAACGAGTAGGGGAGCACTGCCATGAATGGGACACTTTTATTTCGGACAAGATAACAAAAACACTAAATGACATAACTAATTCTAGTTTTAAACATTCGAAAGATTAGTTCCTTTACTGTAACAATGTACAGTGTCAATGCGATTCTTCTATGTTCACTTGCTTTATTTTTATTTGTTTTTATGCATTTATCAATTGGTTGCATTAAATGGAACAGATTAACAAAGTAAAGCAATATTGGTATTAATCTTACAAGTTTCATTGTAAGTACAGTAGAGCCTTTCTTATCTGAAGGTTATCTAAAAACTTCAATCAAGTTCTCTACTAGATAACAATATATAAAAATAATATGAT